GGCTCTTGGAGCCTGCTCCCTGGGCTCTGAAAACAATTCTATTTTCAGTCTCTGACTAGCTGTTCAGCCCTCACTCTTGTCTTGAGCTGCCTGAGTCACTTCTCCCCACGCCCATCTCTGCTTCTTTCTGAATGGAGTGGATAATCATAACACCATATGTTAGGGGAACAATTCACAATTTACGAATCACTTTTATGCACCAGCTCACTTCGGATCTTTCATCAGCCTGTGAGGTTGACTGGGCAGGTAATTCAATTCATGTTCATAGTTGAGGCAAAACAGAGGCATAAAGAAACTCAAGTAGCTTGACCAACAAATTCCTCCCCCACCTCTCTTGGCTGGGTCTCAGCATCAGGCTTCTTGCCCACAAATCTGGTACTCATTCTCACTACCCTACACTGTCCAGGGGGTCCATGGTTGTTGGGTTGGCTGTGGGGTCCTGCAGGACCACTGGTCAGGGCCATTTCCTACCTTCTTTGTAGAAGACATGTGCTTCTGGTAAATGTTGCACTTTATAATTTATAGTACTCATGGGGGATAAGTAGGGCTCTAGACCAAGTGGAAGAAGTAGTTTACAGTTTCCTACCGTTTAGGCTCCCTCTCTTCTCTCTCCTTTCATCTGACCTTCCAGTCCCTAGGAAAACCTTGTCTCAGGCTGGGGATGTAGCTCTGTGGTAGTTTACTTGGCTAGCATGTACAAAGCCCTGGCTTCAATTCCCAACACTGCAAAAGAAAAAAAGGTATGAAAACCTCATCTCCATTCCACTTACTCTAAGCCTTAGAGCCTAACATATAAATGACTAATGGCATTGAAAAGTGTAACACCTTCATACCCTGGTCTATCTAACATTTATGTGGCTCATACTTCAGCTTACAAAATAGGTATGTTTGGATGTATTATCTCTATAGAGGACATCTAAAGTTCTAACAGCTAGCAGAGCATGGACAAATGACCTATTAGGACAAAGGCTAGTTGCAATGCTGAATGGGCCCTGGGACCCCTCCCCTCCACTGTGCCAGACATTATCCATAGGGCTGATCTATGAAGAGGTTAGCAAGAGTCCCAAGGGAGTGGTGAGCAATCAGGGCCAACAGGGGGATGGATGGGAGGGGATATTTTGGGGGAACTCTGGGCACCAGCTATTGCTAAGCAGTATAGGAGTGCTCGAGCATTTTCATACCTGTGCAGTCATACTAGTGCCTATTTGGCAGTCTGATTTAATTTTTTTCTAGGACATTTGGAGGGAGATATGACATTTTCACTTCAACTACTGAGGAAACAGAGTCTCTGTAAGGTTCTACAGTGTCTTGAGCCCTCATAGCCAGAGTTTAGAGCATGGGGACCCCAAATTGAATGGAGGAGGTGGGAGTCCTAGGTAGCCAGAGGATACTGTGAAGGCTCAGGTCCCATCAAGGCTTGGGGTGTGGGAAAATAAGAGAAAAAGAATAGAAAGAGGTGTGTGTGTGTGTGTGTGTTTGAGAGGGAAGATAGCATATTGGGGAACAACACTGAGAAACTGCCCATTATCAATTATGGTTTTGCTATGGCCAGTACCAGTCCTAAGTGACACAAAGAGGCTATTCCTATAGCTTGTATTGCCTCTCTTCCTTTCTCTGAATATTGTCTGTCACCTGGAGAATATGATCACCTCTGGAGGACTACTTGTGGCATTTGTGATTTTAGAAAATGCTGTGTTTTAAAGAGCCCCCACCCGCCGTACTCATATTGCCTGGCTGGGAATCCCCAGCTCGGTGGAATCTCACATGAGCAAAAGTCAGTCAACATTAAAGTGGGCTTCTCACTGAAGAAAGCCTAGGACTCAGGAAACTGAATATAAAACTCTATTTGCTTTTCTGTGGACTAAGTCCCAAATGTTTGTCAGCATTTGCCCAGAATTCCAGGTACTCCTGTGTATTTGAGGCTGGGTAGGACCCAGATACACCATCCTCTGGAAAAGCATAGGCCCTCTTTTAGGTTGAAAAGTAAATCCCTGGTCTCTTGAGGGAAAAGGAGATTAGTCATGGCAACCATGCCCCAAAATGGGGACTTGGCACTTTGGTTTCCAGGAGTGCCTGGGTTGTGGGAAGTCTGAGGGGCCTGTGATATGAGATAGTGTTTGGCTCTCAGCTTGGTTCCAGGCAAGAGGACAGGAATATGGTTGGCACAGACTCAGCTACCCTCCATGATGGTCCTAAGTATCAGATTCTTTCTGCTCTTATGGCCCAACTTCCCTATTCCCTCCCAACACAGTGTGCTAATAGGTGTGAGTCTTATCCCAGTCCAATATGACAAAATAAAAAAATAAATGTCCAGGCACATGGCTTGGTCTGCAGAATAGGATCTCTTTCCTTATGCATCCTAATGATGCATTTTACACAAACCTCTTGGAGAAGGCTGGTATTCTGACAAAAAGTTAAAAACAAAATGCAAATTCTAATTCTTGAGAGTCATCTTTGCCTGTGTTTTCCCTTCCTTGTCCTTCAGTCTGTGCCAATTTAGTGTCAGAGACAACATATCACATGGTTTCTTTTAAAATTGGGCTCTGGCTGGCGCTGCTTTTCCTACCCACTGCCCATCTGCCAGCTCTACAGGGAACCTTGATGCTGGGTGGGGTGGGGGAATTGCCAGAGAGTGCTCAAGTAAGAACTGAAATATTTGACTGGCCTTGGTCCTAACAGAGGCAATTTTATTACCCTAAATGTCCTGAAAACTCTGTTGCTTCTGGCATGAGAAGCCTCCAGGCTTGGTCATTCCATCTGCAGTGAGCCTTGGCATCTTTCTGAAATGGCTGTGACGTGAGTCATGGAGGCAGTCTCCAGTGAGGCTGAACACTAGGTGGGTACACAGAAGGATGTCTGCATCTTCCTCCATCAGAGGTGAGAGGCCAGCAAACTGGGGTGGCCACTGGGCTCTCTGAGGTTTGAGGGGGTCACATCAGAAGGGAGGAGGGAAATCTCTAGGAGGATAGGTAGTCCAGCCTGGCCCTGGTGTTAACTGCTGGGCGGCACTTGTAATATCAAAACCAGTCTTTGATTTCGGATGGAAAGAATACGCTGAATTCTCTTACCATTTCTCTCATTTCCAGGGGCAATGAGATCCTGATACACAGTTCTTTCCCTTTGTGAAAATCTTCCTCCTATTCAACGAGGGAGACTCAGACATACTTTTTCAGTACTTTATTAATGTCACACACAGAACAGACTTTAGTTTTAATTGAATCAGCCAAATGAAATGTTTTGTACAAAGCAATCACTTCACCGTGGAATATTTAAGTTAAAATAAATAAGTTTGTTCCACCCTACATAAAGCTCCAGTTGCCCCACACAAATAGAAGATATCAATAACAAGTTAAATAAGTTAAAATAAATAGTTGAAGGAGAGTTTGTGAGGTCCAGAACAGACTGCCTGTTGGCGCCCAAGCTTAGCTCTGGACTCCACTCTCTCACCTGTTTAAGATGATGGACAGTTCAGTGGATCTAGCTCCTCACTGAAAAAGTGGTTGATGCCAGTCTCCAAATTATTTTTGGATAATAGCATCAGGCGCTCAGAGTCTAAAAGAGTGATAAAGAGCAAGTTTTATCAAGGTGAAAGCCTGAAGTGCAGGCCCCTTACTCATCCCCATGCCTTCTTACAGTTCACCTGGAGATGCAGAAACAGGAAACCTGGAGAGAGGCGAAGGCAAGACATGGCCACAGAGCAGCAGTCAGAAATACCATTTGAATCTGAGAACAAGAATGGTCATACTCTACTGTATTCAAAGAGATGGCAATTTCCAGTACATTCTTAGGCTACATCTTACCTTAATGAAAATTTCTAGTTTTATTATTTAGGGTGAATTAATTTAAACCTCTTAATTAGAAAACAAACCTTCTGGGGACAGAGTTCAGGTGACAGATGACAAATATACAAGTTCTGTTTCACTAATAGCCTCCACAGGCAGGCATTACTCATCAATCCCTGCACTCTTCCATCTCAGATTTCTTCGCACAGCACTTCAGGTAGCCTCCACCAATGCATTTGCTCCAGCATTTGAGATGAGCATTCTTCACCAACTTAAGACCTTCTTTATGTTCTGAACTACTTTTTGTGAAGGAGTAGTAACAGGCATGGAAGCCTGAAGCCCATATAACTTAGGTGCCTTCCAACTAATCTTTTAACCACCTTGAAATGGTGTCAAGGTGTGAAATTGGCAAGGCTACATAACTCAGAGCAGTCAGGAAGATTAGGACATTTTATGCAAAGTGCCTAGTATCACACCTGGCACACAGTGGGCATTTAATAAGTGATAGATATTATTACCATTATTAATATCATTTTAAGGCTACTCATGTTGACAATGAAATTGATAATGACATCTTCACTTAAAGAAGGAAAGTATCATACATTAAGTTGAATCATTTGAAATGAATATTCATTTGTTTCTGATCTATAGAAATGTCAATTTCTTCTGGTTCAATCTAATGAATTATGTATTTTATTCAAAGCACTTACTTGTTCCAACTTTATCAGATTGTTCCCTTTAACAATTGCCCCCAGAGACATGACCCACCATTTATAAACTTCCTCAAATCAGTTGTTAGAGTAAGCAGAGAAGGGAGTCTGATAGAGAGAAGTTGAGGACCTGATAACTAGTTCCATAAACTGGTCATGTAACTTGCTAGTTCCGGGTAACCAGCTCTACTACTAGTGATATAACCTCCAAATGCCTCATTTTCCCCATCTGTACATTGGGGATAACTGTACTTTCTTCATCTGGGATTTTGTGACGATAAGAAGAGATAATGGATGGGAAATCACTTTCAAAAGTTAAATTATTGTACAAAAGCAAGGTATTATTTGTTTCACTAGATCATACCATGTCAGAAAACATTACCATTTAACTTTTAATGTTTTTCTATAGGAAAATTGCACAAAAAGAATATAGAATTCATGCAATCATGCCAAGTGATCATCAAAATTCCTCTTGATGATACTGTCAAGTAAATAGAACTATTAAGTAAGTACATAATGCTTTGTCCTTAAAAATTATACCTCACCAAGGTGAAATAAACATGAAATAGCAATAGAGAGAATCATTGGTTTTACAAGTGACTCAAATGTTAAGCTTTTATACCTGAAATCTTATATTTTGTTAAAACAGATGGGCTGGGAAAGTTTGATTTTAATATAGTTTTGTCTAAAGATAGGGATATAAACTCTATGACCTCCAAAAATGACTTTCAGACTAATGGCTTCAGCAGTTCTAAGGAACAGCTTTCTTTTGCCTTCCAGGCACATTCCTTTCCTGTGCCCTAAACCAGAGTGCCTAGCTAGGGAGGGAAGATGATGCATTTGGACCAGCTGCCAAGAGAGGTGAGTGTGGTTCAGTCCCAGTCTTCAGATTTCTCTCTTCCCGTGTCCTATGAACCTTGATCAATGCAAGGTACCTGAGAGGGGTCATCTTTAGTCAGCCTCAAAGGCGCTGTTGGTGGCTCCCACATATTCTGATTTTTTCTTGTGCCTGGTCCACATTTTCCGGAGGATGCTGGGGACACCACAGGAAGCACTGCCTGTCAGTGGGAGGGAGGCCTCTGCTCCCTGGGGAAGTGTTGGATACTCTTCAGTCATCTTCTTGAGGTGTCTAGATCTAAAGAAAAGCCAGGGGCAGGTGGAGATGTGATCACTTTGCTGAGACTTCAGTTTTGCCTTTGAAATGAGTAGGCAGAACTCTTTCTTCCTCTGCATCCCTGTCCTGTGATCAGGCTTTGTTTAGCTGGAGGCTCACTGTGGGGACCCATAAAGACACGTCCCCTAGGGGAGCTTCCCATGGGGTAAAGGGAGGTGGTGACCCTGGGCCTTGTGGTTCATGAGATTTCAAGTCCTGTTCCCGGCTCCCTTTTCTGGGTCTGGCCTTACTTAAACCTCTACTTTCTCATCACTACCACCTTCATGTGAGAAATCTTGCCAGAAAGAGAAGGTACCCCAAAGGATCAGCCTCTGAAAGAGCATGAGCTCCTGTGCGGAATTTTGCTCTCTGCTTACTGGCTTACTTCAGGCAAGAGACTTAATCTTCACTAGCCTGTTTGCTCTTGTATAACATGCAGATGCTTTCACTTAATATCCACAGCTTTTGTGAAAAGGAAAATGAGATAATAAAACATCTGGCACACTGTAGACCATACATAAATGTGTATTTATCCCCCCCCATGTGCTGTGTTAAGGTGAAAAACAATGATCTTATTTTCTTTTCAATACCTAGGATCCAGGAACAAATTGTCTGAGCTCAGGCAGAAGGGAGCCATTGAGAATCTTTGCAAGGCAGCCATGTGAACTTGAAAGACTAGCCTCTGTCAAGGCACAGTGAAGTTTTGCTGATTTATGTGAGGAGTCAGCTACTGGTATTTAAGAGTAATTTGCTACTGGAAAATTAAAGAAGCCAAATAATATTAAAAAACCTTTTCTCCAAGATCCCAACAATGAATGTAACTGTACTGTATCCCTAAAATGTACCAATAAATTCAATTAAAGCTGAAAAAAAAACCCACCTTTTCTCTAATTAAGTGCCAATACATCAAATGACAGACACATGGCTTGGTTTTTATACTTTTTTCCAGATGACTTTCATCCAGAAGTCTTCCATTGTACTCTCTTCAACTCTGACTCTTAAGAGTGTTGGGTGTGTACCTCTTATACTGGTATTTGCTATGATTTTCATATGGCTGTTTCCTCCAAAACTCATGTTGAAATATAATCCCTATTATGAGATATTAAGAGGTGGGATCTTTAAGAGGTATATAGGGCTTTTTCCTAAGAAATGAATTAACCATTATGTAAATAATGTATAAATGGGTTAGTGGGTTATCTTGAGAATGGGTCGGTGATAAAAGACAGTTCAGCTAGGTCTCATATGCTCACTGTCCATCACCATGTGACACCCTGTGCCTGAGGACTCTGCCTTTTTGGTGGCTTCACCAGATATAGCCCCTCAACCTTGAATCAGAGCTGCCTGTGAGCCAAATAAACCTATTCTGTATAACTCTGTAATATTGTATCATTAGCAACAGAAAATGGACTAAGATGATATTTTAGCCTGTGGCTTTTCCTATGTGCACTAATACTTTTTAAAATGCACAGCCTCCTAACTCCTGGGCTAAATTTCCTGAAAAATGTTAACGATAGTTTAAGCTAAGCTCTCTAAACATGGTTTCATTTAATTCTCACAAAAACTCTTCTCTTTCCTATTTTTCTATTTGTTTTAAAGTAGACGAGATGTGGAGGACTAAATAATTTCTCTGAAGTCTGAGTTGGTGGCAGTGTCAGGATAGAAAGCAGATGAGTCAAGAGTTTACACCCTTTTTATCCCCTAAACCACCTGGCTGGTATATAGTGTGATGGGCAGTAGAGCAGGTCATAAAAGTTCATGTTGAATTGCATGTTACTACTGTCTTATTGACTGAAGGCAGTGAGGGGGTGTTGGGGAAACTCCTGCTGACCAAGCTACTGGCTCTGGACCAGAATTAATGAATGCATATTTGGGTTATATTTTGGTTTGAAATGTCTGACATCATATAAATTGGAGGTTCTGAATATGGCTAGTGATGACATTCATCAAATAAGTAAAATCCTCCCAAATGACCTTTTTTTCCAAGCCTAAAGAATGGGGTTAATGAAGTGGAGACCCTGAAAAACATTTCAGCTTAATCCGTAGGAAACAGTTGATGAGGCTCTTCATGGAACCAGAATTATGATCCTTATTATAAGGTAATTTGCAGCTGGCATGGGTTTTGTTTTAGCATCTTGAGTTTGAAAACCAGGCCACCTGTTGCTCTTCTGCGGCAGGGTCACCACAGCACAGGAAACCAGGCAAGTGTTGGGTATTAGGGACACAGTACTTACCCCCTCCCCAGAACAGCTCCATTCTCTGAGCCTGTGGCTGCTGCCTCTACTGCAGCTGGAGCTTTCACTGAGATTCGGGCCACAGGAGGAATCTGTGTTAGAGGGAAGAGGCAAGGAACTCAGGATTGTCCACATTCCCACCCTGGCCCTGACTAGAGCTGTTTGAAAGGAGGATGACTGAAGTGATCACCAAAAACCTGGGCAAGGGGCAGGGGATTTAGTTCAGTGGTTCCACAGCCTGCCCACAGGCACAAGGTTCCAAGTTTAATCCCCAGTGCCAAAAAACAAAAACAAAAAACCAAAAACCTGGGCAATAGACTTCACACTTCAGTGGGCATCAGCCGCCCCTGAGAGATCTTGTGGGAACAGTGCTGGACTCCACCTAGTATCTGATGCAGCAGGTCTGATGGGGCCTGAGCATATGCATTGCTAACAAGGTTCTAGGTGCTGCTGATCCTGGGACACCCCCCCACCCACTGTGGCCTTTGAGAATCACTGGTTTAAAGATACTTCAGAGAGTGCTAATCAATCTTACATGAGAACCGTTACCCTTCCTTCCCCATCATCTGTGCCCAGTCGTCAAGTCCTGCAGATTCTTGCTTTGAACAGGCTGCCCACACTAGCACCAGCTTTTCCATTTGCCCTCCTGTAGGATTCAAGGAACACTCACACCACACCTCCTTGTTTCTGACTAGACCTGCTACATTTACCATTCCCTTCTTGGACTATAGAATCATCAAGAGTGATGAGACTAACTGTGCAGCCTGCCCTCCAAGATCCTGCAGCACTGGGTTCTACCTTATCTATGCAGCTCAGCTGTTATCATTCCCCGTGTCAGCAGATCCACTGCTGTGCTTGGGCCTGCTTTCCCCCATACTTGCCCACAACTCTGCACTTTCTCTAGGAAGCCTTCCCTGAGGCTGGCAGCCCCAGTTGGGATCTTCCTTTTTACCTGTGTCCCCAGAGCACTGTGTGACAGACCCACTAGTCTGTCTTTGTTCTCTACTTGTTTAATATGTTTGTCTTGTCTTTTTGTTTCAGAAAGATTCAGTAGTGATTGGCAGAGGGTAGGACTTTTAGTAGCCTATTTAGTAACCCTCCTCTGCCTTTCCAAGATATTAAATTGAAAATTAGCTGATGGCTTAACCAGGGCTAAGTCAAAAGGTTACTCAGTCAACGGACACGTGTGTGCTTTATTCTTTCCCAAACCCTATCAAAGGCTTCAATTCAACACATTCCTGAAGTCACTGGGAAATTCCAGGTCAAGGACACCATTATTTACCACCTCCTTTCCTGAGAAGGTTAAAGGTTGCGGGCAGAGTTACTGTGCCACCTTGTGGCCTCTCCCAAGCACTCCCTTGGCCAGGTGAACACACACCAGGACTCCTTAATTCCAGAGGGTGGAGTGGGGGCCTTTGCCCTCATTCATTTTCCCTCTTTCTTTAGTTCCATCTCCAATGTGTGTCACCATTAGGTGTGTGGGCTCTGGATTGCTTTCCTGCCCTAGGATAATAAAACTTTGATGAGCCTACTTCCAGGCCTAAAGGAAGTACTGCCTCTTCCTCTTCTTCATTATTATTGCCCTTTCTAGGTAACCACATCCACACCAGCACAGTTTTCTCTGAATTCCTGCTGCAGCTGCCTCTCTGCCAAGGGCACTATGTGGGCTTTACCTATAGGTGGCACAGGGGTGGGGGATGGGGGGCTACAGGTTAATCCAAGGCCATGAGAGACTCTCTTACCTTTAACCTTTGTCTTTGTTTAGCCAAGACAGCTGTTTGAGCTGAGGGGGCACAGACTTTTGACCTCTCTGTGTCAACTTCCCAGCCACCCCAAGTTCCTTGAGGTTAGGGAAGGGTTCTCCTTGACAAGCTTGTCCCATTCCACACTCTTTGTGTGGATTTATTAATATTCTAAAGGAGATCACTGGATTAGTTTCCTGCCCAGACCAGGAGAAAAGCACTAGCCTTTCTGTCCAGTTTGTTTTGTAAGGATGAGCAGCTGGCCAAGACAACCTCTGGGGTCTTTTCTACATTTCACATTGTACCATCCAGACATTTTGACAGTGGATACTGAAAGGGCCCAGGATGCCTGAGCTGACCTCATTTCCACCACCGCTGATCTTGTAAGGCAAGAGGGAGCCTAACATGCCCAGAAGATGATGGAGAAGACAGAGCCGGAGATGTGTCACCTGATCCATCTTCGGGGAAAGACATGCTACCCAAATATGGGAGGGTGGGTAGCTAAAGGCTCTTAGCTCTGTGAAGGGTGCCTCAGCTGCAGAGGGACCTCATGCTTAAGGTCACACCCTTCCTGAGGCAGCCCACAATTTAATGAGGAGGGAATACAAAGCCATTTTTGCCCAGCTCAGGTGGCCCTAGATAGGCAACTGTCCCCAGATATCTCCACCAGGAAGTGTTGGCCTGAATCATGGTTCAGCTGCATGTACCCCGAGTCTGGTCACTGGTGTTAGTCCTTAATATACCTCAAGTTCCAGAGACTTTTTCCAGAGAACCTGACCTGTAGCAGAAGCTCTCAGAGGTGTCTCTGTCCTGAGAGTTGTCCTTGTCCTGAGATGACTAATAGTAATGGATGGAATGCTTATGTGCTCCTCAAACACATGTGTTAAAGCCCAAACCCCTAATGTGATGGTATTGGGAATGGGGCCTTTGGAAGGTGATTAGGTTTAGATGAAGTTATGCTTCTTCTTCTTTTTTTTTTTTTTTTGTGGTACCAGGGATCAAACTTGGGACCTTGTGTCTGCAATTCAGGCATGTGCCACTGAGCTACAGCCCTGGCCCAAAGTTATGCTTTTCTAATAATCCTCAGCTTGGTGCAAAGGGCACTTAGTTTCTCTTCATAGTACTGGAGAAACAGACTTAGAAGTTATAAACATACTAGATACAATAATAATCAGACTTATCTTACTTACCAGTGATTTTCCATATGCTCGATTTCCACACAGATTTGATGTTTTAGGTTCAGAAATCCCCACTGTGAAATTGAACAGAGGAGATATTACTCAGTAGTTCTCTGAGTTCTACCTCCTTCTGGCTCTGCATAAATTATCTTGTTTGCCAATCAATCAATCTCAGAAAGTAATTTCTTGGGGCCTTTGTACCAAGCAGCAAAGCTAGGCAACAGAGTCAGGCAATGGTAACTGTCAAGTACCAGGGGCTGGAACTAAGATATACATGGGATCAGGGTGTCAATGCAGGTCCAACTGTCAACAGTATCACTCTGGAAGGGAATGTTGATAGTGGAAGAGCCTGTGTAAGTGTGGAGGTATGAGGGGGACATACAGGAAATCTGTGTACCTTTAGCCCAATTTTGCTGTGAACCCAAAACTGCTCTAAAAATTAAGATCAATTTTAAAAGATCACAATGTGGATGTATTTAGCACTGTGAGTACTCAGAGAATGTCCCCTAAGTTCCTACTTCCTAACACCTCAGGTCACAAGAGGTTAAAGAGGTTATCAGGAGTTAAGTCTTTACAGCTGGGTTCAATTATGTAAAACAGGACTCCTGGATGCCCCTCTAGAAGTGAATTGAGAAAGTGTCTGCTCTGGGAAGTGCAGGCCATAAAGTGGAAGGATTGGAGTTTATCAGATCCGGATCCTGAGACCTTGGCCTCATGGGATGTGAGTGTAAAGAATCTAATTTGTAATAACTGTATTCTTGATACCCCAACCTACTTCTGAGTAATTTCTACTCAGAAATTACATAGAAGCCTGCAGCTTCTAAGGACTCAGATTTTCAGGTGAGGTAGCCAGTCGAAATGAGATAGCCAGCATTCAACATAACATCTCTTGGGCAGATGTCCCAGGACAAGCTTCATCTCATATATTGCAGTGTGTGGAATTGTGCACCACACCCCCTCATACACACATACTGAGGAAAGCATCTCAGTGCTAATAAAATGAAAAAAATTATAAGACTACTGTTGAAATTTTGTGGGAGGCCATCAATTTGGACTGGGTACCTGCACTGAGCCCCACAGACCAAGCTAATATGGAACTAAGATTACAGTAACTGAGCTTTGGCTGGTTTCAGGAGGCCCTGCAGCTGCTTAACTAATTAGATTTAAATAAATAACTAGTTAAGCAGTAGCCAGTGGACTAGCTTTTGGCTATTAAGTTGTTTCTATACCTTGCTTCTGTCTTCCTATACATACTGTCTGATCATGTTATTGTTTTGGGCACTGCCTAATTTGTACATCATTTTTGTTTTATTTTACTCAAATGTATCTACTAAGTTTAATTAGTTTGGGAGTTCTCCTTTTAACATTACCAAGATCAAACTATAATGAATGATGCCCTGACAGAAGTAATCATAGCACCTCATTTTTTTTTTTTTTTTTTGGTACTAGGGATCAAACTCGGGACCTTGTCTTATGAGGCAGGCAGTGGCAACACTGAGCTAAATCCCTGGCCCAACAGCTCATATTTTTGAGTCTGTATGCCCAGACACTGCGATGAGCATAAATCATGTAGTTTCTGTCGGTCCTCTGTATCCACTGGTTCTGTATCTGTGGATTCAATCAACTGAGGATTGAAAATATTTGAAAAAGTTGTATCTGTACTGAACATGTACAGACATATATTTCTGTCATTACTCCCTGAGCAATACAGTATAATAATGACTCACATGGCATTTACATTGTATTAGGTATCAAAATCCTAGAGATGATTTAAAGTAGGTGAGAGGATGTGATTAGGTTATGTGCAAGTGTCATGTCATTTTATAGAAGAAACTTGGGTGTCATGGATTTTGGCATCTAAGAGGGGTCCTGGAACCAGTCCCCCATGGATGCTGAGGGATGACTATATCTAATTTAATTCAACACAACTGTAAGAGGTAAATGTCATAATAATTTGCACTTCGTACTTGGGGAAACTGAGGTGTCAGAAACACACAAAAATTATAATGAAGTCAGGCAAAAATTATTTAGTAGGTAATGGACGTCTTTGGTGGTCTTGCTAGTCTGGGGCAATTTGACCAACAGATTCCCTATCCCAGCCTGAGAGAAGGTACAGTGACTCAGGGAGGGCAAACTGCAGAAAAAAAGGCTCTGCAAAGATCCAGGGCAGCAGAATATAACAGAGCAGTTACAGAATCACAGTACACTGCAACCCAGGGTTGCTCTTACTGAGAATGGTGGAGACAGGTGGGTGGGAGTCAGTATGGCCTGGAGTGCGGATGAGAGAGGGGAACATGGTGCTTAAAGGAAGGGGATGATGAAAGGTAGATTTCTGTTTTAGAGGGACAACTCTGGCAGCCTCGTAGAGGAAGGAGACCATTGCTGACAATATTCTCTACATCAGAGAGGCAGGCAATCTGAACCTGGACAGCCCAAGGCAGGTACAAAGAGGGTGAGGCAAGAAATACTTAGATGTTGACACTGTCAGTGTTCACTGTGTGAAGGGGTGTGACAGGACATGGAGGTGCTAGGGAAGAGATCCCAAGACTTGCTGGAATGATGGACAGTGGCCCAGCTAAGAAATGAACTTTCAGCTTGTTGGAACAAATTGGTGCTAAGGGGTCTGGAGTCATCTCAGGGAAGAAGTCCTATAGGGAGTCATTTTTCCTAGGCCTAAGAGGTAAGGACTGTCCCCTTTCCAGGCACAGAGGCCTCATGGTGAGTTTCTCAGCCAGGTCACTGCCTTCAGAGTCCCAGAAATTTCTAAGCTTCCTCATTGCTGTCACATGTAAGAAAGGAGCCTTCTCCTATGGCCCAGAAATAAAGCACGTCCTCAGATCTGAGATCCCCAGAGATGTACAGTTTTCTGGCAGCAGAAGCGAGGCTTGAAACCCATGAGTTGGTGCCTAGCTTTTCCCTGGAGAGCACCAGAGTCTGGCTTTGGCTCAGAAATGCTCCTTCCTACCTTTTCTAAAATCTATAAGATTGGGGGAGCTGAAGGACTTGAATCAATGCCTAGCTCAATCTTTTTTTTTTTCAAACCTGACTGGCACATCCTTCCATGCATGAACCAACTCTCATGTGTTCGGCAGATTCTCTCCATTTCATAACTTACTGCTGTTATCCTTCAGAATAAAAGAGTGACTTCAGCGGTCCAAGCTGCCACAAACTACTTAGGCACAAAGATGGCCCTAAAATTAGACATTTGAGAAGCCTTTTTCTCTGGAGAAGTGTCACTGGCTAGGGAATGAGGGGCCCTAAAGTTTCATTTTGGCTCTGTGGTTAACAAGTAAGTGGTATGACACTGGGTAGTGCCAACAATTTCTCTGGCTTCCATTTTCTCTTCCCTAAATTGGCAAAAGGCAGCTGCAATAGGTCAGGGTCTCCAGTATGGATGAGAATCATGGAGGTGAGGATACCCATTGAAACATGATGGATGTATCTTAACACTAGAATTCTGATTCAACAAAATTCACATTTTCAGCAAATCTCCAGGTGCTGCTGCTGCTCCCAAGACCCTACTTTGAGAATCACTGTGTTAGCTCATCCCTAAATCCTTGCTTCTCTATCTGTTATTGACAGAGTAGTAGCATCTGTGAGCCTGTTAGAAATATAAAACACAGGGGTCCATTTAGTCCTCCCAAATTACCATCTGCATAAAAGCAAGATTCCCAGGTAATTTCTTTTGCACACAAGAATCTGAGAAACACGGCTCTAAATTCACTGTGATTCTGTAGCAAAGAGAATTATTCTGCCTCTTTTTCTCTTTCCATACCCATGCACCCACCCACTCACCTATACATAGATACAGAAAAAAAAATCTATCTTCTCCTAATTTGCAAGGCAGATTGTGGTCTTCCTAATACTTTCAGTGTATATGTATATGTACATGCAATCATTTAACTAAAGAATATAGTTTTGCGTGTTTTTATACATAGGGCCATAAATAGAATCAGGTTCTTAGTGACCAAAGAAACCTCAGGGATCTACTTTGGCACCCAAGAAAGAGAAAAATGAAAAAGCAAAACAAAACAAAAACGGGGAAAACAGGATAAAGACAAAGAAGGGGCTTGATTGGGTAGGAAAAGAAGGTGCATGAAGGAATAAACTCAATGATTGTTAACACCCCAAAGATTTAAGGACACCCTGGTCTTGCATATTTTTGGAGTTAAAATATGAATAACTTTGGGTTGTGGGCATAACAAAAACAAACTAACAAAGGCAAAATACCATCAGAGACTTCAGTGGGCTAGAGGCAGATTTGTTTCAGCGCTTGGGTGAAAGTCATTTTAAAAAAGTATCCAAGATAAAACTATAACATTCCAGTTTTTAAAAACAGATTGGCTCCCGAATTCTAACTATATATTAAATCATTAAAATTTATAAAGGTAAAATTTTAAGATGATAGTTTAGGAAAAGCCTGGACTATTACATCCAACCTGTTAAATAAATAACACAAGCTTCCTTCACATCGAAGGCCATGGTTTTCTCTTCCCTAGAGCATTATGATTTACGTCTTCTAAATATAGCCCTTCTGAATATAGTGTGTGTGTGTGTGTGTGTGTGTGTGTGTGTTCCTAAAACGGCTCCCTGTGAAGCACGATGGTAGACAGCGCATCTTTACACACACGCAGAAGCCAGAGTTGTGTAGGTAGACGGTGCCACAGCGCGAACAGTATTTATCTGGGGGAAAGCGCAGATGCTCTCTCACCTGGAGTGACCGAGGCCTCTACAGGATCCTCTGAAAACACAAGCAGGACACAGATCCTGCGGGGTTGTGCTTTCAAGGTTGTAGAACTGGCTCTCAGGGGATCACTGAGCCTGGAGAGGATCTGGGGGACTGAGTGGGGCCGGGACCCACGTACCAGGTCTGGTGGGTGTTTTGGTGGGATGTGCCCTGGGTGGCCGCGCATTCTGGACCCGGCCAAACCTGCGGACTTCGCCCGTGTCCCAGCGGTCAGTGCGGTGCGGCAGCAGCTCCAGGGGCCGTGGCGGGTACAGGTCTGACTCGATTACCACCTGCCAAGCCAAGGAAGGACAGTCAATTTCTCCTTGTCCAGGGGAATTCAGGACCCACCCTCATCCCCACTCCCCGGTAATGCTTTGCAGATGGGTCTTTGGTTGAGAAGGAATTTATGTAGACTTCCTTACTCCAGTGGCATCCAGGAGCAGCAACAAAAACGTGGATAGAAAACCTGCCAGAAATGGTTGACTGTTGTATTTGACTTTCAGACTGCCAGCTAGTGTCATGGTGCGAGCAAATGAAGGTTCTAGGGGATTCCTTAACAGCAGGCCCTGGTCTGGTCCGCTGCTTCATGTCCTCTTCAAGGCTATTTCAAACAAAGATGATCCTGAAAACTGGGGTCTTCTGGTCTTTGCAGTTAAGTGGACAACATCCCTGATCATGCAAAAGACAGCTTTTTGGATGTACTAGTGGAAGGAAGACCTAAAGAGAAGACAGCCCAAATGATTCCCAGAGTTTAAAAAACAAAACAAAACAAAACTGCTGGCAAATTGGTACAGGAAGGGCTCCCAAGTGTTGGTTCCTTCAGGATGCAGTCTGCTAGGATCAAGGTGTAGCTGGGAGATGAATTTCCACCCTGGATGGTTGGGCAAGTGGAAATCTAGGTGAACCAGAGCACAGTGCTGAAGGGGAGCATTCTCATGATGATCACTTGATGAGTGGTTATTTTGGAAAGTTCAGTAAGGGGTAAGTGCCCTCCATGTCCACCAAAACGGACCTTAAAAACTGTAGTGAAAAATACATGTAGACCCCCCTCTATGTCTGTGGGAATATTTTTCCATGGCAGATGGAAAATATTTAGAAAAATATGTCTACACTGAAAATGTACAGACTTTTTTCTTGTTGCTATTGGCTATACAATATACAAACTGTTTACCTAGCATTTTATTGTTTTTGATAATACAAGTAATTTAGCCAGTGATTTAGCTCAGTGGTGACACTGCCTGCCTCACAAGGTCCTTAGTTCAATCCCTGGTACCAAACCAAACAAAACAGAAAAACAAAACAAAAAAAAATGAGGGAGGTAATACAAGTAATTTAGAGATGGTTTAGGGTATATAGGAAGATGTGTATGTTATATGCAAATATAATACCATTTTATATAAGGAACTTGAGCACTGTGAATTTTGATATGTGTGTGTGTGTGTGCTCCTAAAACTAGTGACCCCAAGGGACTTATAGAGGGGTTGAAGGGCCCGAAGTCACTGAAATTATTTATTTATTTATTTATTTATTTATTTATTTTTGGTACTGGGGAGCGAACTTGGGACCTTGCACTTGCGAGGCAGGCAGTGGAACCACTGAACTAAATCCCTGGCCCTGAAATAATTTAAATGTAAAAAGTTGAGACAACCACTATCAGTTATTTTATCTTGATCTAGGGAGTCATGAAAGGAATCTTAGCAGTCTGGGCTCAGATCCTGCACATTTTATCCATATTCAGTACACTGTGGTCATTCATGCTGAATGTCCTTCCTCCTTATAGTATTGCAGCTTTGCTGAGACTTGCATCTGCCCACTTGCTTGTCCTTTCCTTCCACAGCCGTCCTGCAAGACCATGTTCTGTGGCAGATCCTGGGCTCCCTGTGCATCTGTCAGTGAGGTGGATGTTCTCAGTCCTTAGAGCCCAGCCTTCGGCAGATCCATTTCCCAACATATACCTGTTTAGTTGCTTTAGGGTGGTTCTTGAAACAAAAATTAATGTTTTTTTTAAAAATATGATAGGAGTGTAGTATTTTTAACTCAGTGGGAGAACACTGAATCTTTAATACTAAATATTATTGGAATAAACCTCAGGTCATTAGGGGAAATGGATCTCTGTTCATTTTTGGAAATGAATACCAGCTAGCTCAGAGCTGCATGTTTACAAATAAGATATAGCTTACTCTAACATTTGTTACATATAAGAGGGAATTATCCCTATGTTCCTAAAACTCTTACAAACCAATAAAGTTTAAAAAATAGAAAAATGAGGCAGAAAATATGACCTGCAATTGATAGTAGAACTAAAAATGGCTAATAAATATCAAAAGATACTGAACAACATTAATGATTAAATGCAGATTAAAACAATAATTATTTTTTCCTCTTATCAGATTATTAAGGAAGAATATGATAATTCTATTTGAGGTTAGGCTAATCTGAGTTCAAACCCCAGTTTTGACACTTTGTAGCTCTGTGGAAAGGGGATATTCATGCTTAGCCTTGCTGGACTGGGGCATAGTAAAGGCCCATCATTAGTAGAGATTTTAATAGCACATCTTTCTCTCTGTTTTCATATATTTACAGTATTTAAGAGTAGTTTTAAGTCTTTTGGAGGCCAAATTTTTATGTCTCCTGCAGAGGAATAAAGAAAAGGAAAGCTGTCACTTTTGCAGCAATTTACTCCAAATATTCCTTTGATTATAAAATTAATGTATCTCAAATTTGGCCATAGATGGGTTAGGAAATTCACTCTTCTCAGGCCCAATTTGGGGCTCAGAATCATGAATCCTCTACCTTTGGGGTGAGCTGAGAATAATTCAGGAGCATTTAGGATTCATCATTGGCCCTGAAAAATCACTTTCCCCTGCTCTGGTCACTGCAGTATATGATGAATCCACTGGCTGTCTCACAAGCCTTTCATGCAGCCTGAGGGATACACCTGTCCACCCTAGGCCAGCCCTTTTGGATTGTGTGAGTGTGTGTGTGTGTGTGTGTGCGTGTGTGTGCATGTGTATATGTGTTTGGTGTGAGGTGCAGTGGTGGGTAATCCACACTTACATCCTGGATAAGCCATTCCCCTCCAGCCTCTTCTCTCTCCATAGCACTGCCCTAAACCATCATGTCACTGAGGATACTAGAACTCCCCCTGCTAGTGGCAGTGCTAAGCTCCATTCCTCTGGACTCATATACTGTATGGCACAAGGAACACCTGGGAATGTGAGTCTCCTAGATAGAATAGGAAGGACTTGGGTCATTACTTGACACCCAGGACTCTTTGCTATTTACTTTTTTTTTTTTTTTTTTTTTTTTTTTTTTTTTTTTTTGAGACAGCGTCTCACTATGTAGTTCAGGCAAGCCTTGAACTTATAGTGCTCTTCCTGCCTCAGCCTCCCAAGTGCTGGAATTACAGGAGTGCACCACCATGCCCAGCTTTTGCCATTGACTTTTATCTTAACTACTCCTGATGTTGTGATCATACTGTCAGTATTCCCCCAAGGGAGGAGGAGTCAGGACTGGTATGGTGTTTTTGTACCCATCATAGAAAGAGAGAAAAGGCAGGATGTGAAAGCCTAGGGAATCCATGGGAAGATACCACTGCCTTCCAGCATTCCCTTCTCTGAAAAGGAACAAATGTTGCCTTAAGAAATACCACTCTGTACTCCTTTTCCTGTACTTTGGGGTGGGAGAATAAGGAGAGAGAGAGTGGGGAAGCATCAGCTGCCTCATGCCCTGGGGCGTAGAGATGAGACCAGTTCCTTCTCAGGTCACCACTCAGGGCCAACCACTTCTTAGGGTATTCGCCAAACTACCCCAAAGGATGCCCAAACAGATTCCTGATAGCATGATTTATTTTCTGGTACATGGAACATAGTCTGGATTTGATGCTAGGAGGTCTTAGAACAAAGTGGTCTGAGAAGAGGCTCATTGCAGTCTGAGTAGAGGGGCAAGACAGGAGAGCTGGGGTGGGAGTGAGAGATGTTAAGGGGAGGTAGAAGGAAAGACAGAAGTTTCATGCTGGAATTTTCCTTTCCTAGGTCAGCAAACCATCTCCTGAAGTAGGAAAATATACCAGAGCAACAAATGTTACTACAATGAATTGATGCCTCTGTTGGTTTCAGGTCAGAGACAGGAAGAATGAAGATATAGGCTAATGCATAGCCCAAGATTCTATCCTCTAACATCTTGGACCTTAATCCTGTTTATTTGCCAGCCTAGACAGCTGCTATTGAGTTAGAAAAACAATGAAGACCTGGATGGTGGAGAACCACCATGATTTGGGGCTGAAGGGATCCATAGAAATGTTTTAATCCAATTCTCTAATTTTATACATAGGGAAACTGAGGTCAAGAGGTGCTGTGGGTCTTAATTAAGATGATGTTGCTGTAAGGGAAAGAGCAAATGCGAACCATGGCTTCATGCTTCCTAAATGAATGCTCTTTGTAAAACCCACAGAATTACATCCAGACAAGAATTTTCAAGTGAAATTGATTGCTCAGCACATAAAAAAAAAAAAAAAAGACCCAAAAAACAAAAAAACAGGAGATCACTGCACAAATCCCTCCCCCACTTAGCTTGAAATTTGGGACAGTGTGACATTTGCAATTGAATTTCCTGATGACAGCTATTCTGCTTATGTGGGGAGGCCGTGAATCATAGTGAAAGTGGCTCCATTATGCCAAAGACTTAACTGATCCACTCTTTTGTCTAAGCTTATTCCCTTGAGCTACTCCAGTGATATCAGTGGACATCAGAATGATCAGGGTGTCAATAAAATAGCCTAAGTAGCAAAAAGAGAAGAAAAGAAAAGAAATGAATGAATGAATGAAAAAGAGAGATTGTTTAGAGAAGTGTGCCATGCCCTAGGAGGGGAAGAAAACCCAAGAGATGTCACAGAGAAAGGAAATCCTGACATTAAAGGTATCTCAGAAAAGAGAAACAGTTGTAATGAAAGGAAACTGACATCCATTCATATGGTAGCCCAAGTGGTTAGATGAGATACATATAAGAATTTCAGCCAAAGAAAGTTGTAAATATTGGTACCCTTGCAAAAAAAAAAAAGCCTTTTCCCAGCCAAGACAACCATTCATAATGGTTTACAGACCACCAAGCTAGAGAGGTGAAAAGGAAACCAAAAGGCAAGAGCTAGTTGCTTGAGGAAATGAGACAGATAAGTCTTTCCTTTTTGGGATTCACTTTCCCCATTTGTAAAAGGCCATCCCACCAGGAGGAAGAGCGAATATTTGGAGACAAGGACCTCTGTTGAAAGTTTTCTTAAAGTCTAAAGTACCTACAGATATTTTCCCTTTCTGTTTTTGGCAACACCTAACCTACAGTTCCTTGAAGGCCAGGAGGAACATTTTGTTTCTGGGCTTTGTGCTTAAGTGTTCAGGGACCATAAGCCAGATCAGAATCTCATGCCATACAATTAAACTTTCCATCAATTAAAAGCCCTTCTTTTTCTCATCATATAAAATATTCTCAAAAGTCCTCACAAAAAGGCATGCAACTGACAGAAAAATAAGCAAAATAGAAAGCTGCAGGTAAAAAAAAAATATTGAAACCATCAGTAAATGTGTGAAAAGATAAAGAATCACATTAAAAATTAAGAAATACAAATTAAAACAATGAGGTGCTTTTGCCTATCAGATTATTAAAGTTTGACAACATTGATACCATAGAGCATTGGCTTGGCTAATGTGGAAAAGGTACTTTGAAATGTAGTTGCTAGAAGTGTGGCAATGGCTATAGATTTTTTTTTTGTACCAGGGATCCAACTTGGGTCCCTGCGCTTGCAAGGCAGACAGCTGAACCACTGAGCTAAATCCCGGCTATAGATTTTTTTTTTGCCACTTCTTTCAACTCTATCAGAAGCTGTAATTTTTTTTAACGTTTATATCATCTGGCCCAGCATTTCACATCTATGCATTTATCCTTAAAAATGTATATAAGAAAATTAAAATATTTTCAAGACTATTTCTTGTGGCATTGTCTTAATAGAAAAAATGGAGAAACCCCATTTATTGATGATTTGGTTAAATAATGAATTAAAATACTCCAGATTTGGTTTGGTTCAATAAAAAAACTATACATTAACACATTGGAATATTATACAGCCACCAGCAATGAAGTAGATCTATATGCATTAATTGGCATGACAAGATGTTTAAGATTTGTTAAGTGAAAAAAGCAATTTGCAAAACAGTATGTTATGATACAACAAGGCATAAAACTATAGTATTTGGGAAATTTTTAACTTAAAAATACAGCAATGTATATTGAATGCTTAATATGTGTCAGTTTCTCGACTGAATACTTTCCGTTTATTAAATCATTTGTTTCTTCCCATTATTCTTGAGGTATATGCTCTTATTATCCTCATTTTAATGCTAAATAAGTTGAGTCCCAGAATGGTTTGGCACTTTGCTTAAGACTCACCTAACTAGAAATTCGTAGAACAAGGATCTAAAGGAAGTCAGACTGACCCTAAAGTCGATGTATCTAACCTCTCTGTTTTACAGCTTCTTAGGATTTTATGGTTTTATATCTTGTATCTTTTAATGTTTAAAATTTTATAAAGGACATACAATGCTTTTGGAATGAAAAGTATAAAAAATATATAAAGACAAATAAAATCCCATCTTGTTCCCAGGACACTAACAAAATTTTTTAATGGCTTTTAAAAGTGTAATACTTAAAAAAAAAATGGTATTCTAAAAAAATTTGTGGTAGAAATAGAAACTTCAGTATAACCAAGAGGAAATGATTATAATCTCCCTTTTAAAACAAAGTATAAAGATACATTAAAAGTTTTTACATGAAGAAATATGCATACAGAATGAGAAATGCATAGCATTATTAGACTCTAAAACATGTAAATTAAGGTATTGTATGTTTGGAGGTGGATGGAAAGGCATGGGTAGAAGCCTGGAAATTATTCAGAATTTCTAGTAGTATGTGATAAAAATGTAAGCAGAAACTATTTTTAAAAATCAATCACTCTTATGTTCTCTCCACCTAGCATAGTTTTTCTCATATAGTAGGAATGCAAATATTTGATGAATGGATGGCTGGATAGCCCGATGAATAAAACTGCTCTTATCCTTTTGCCTGTTAATTCTTCTTTGAGTCCTGTATACCAAGGAATAAAACCAAATAAAATTATGAATACAAATAAGTTTATTTCTCATTTATAATAGTGAAAAATGGAACATTGCAAATGCCAAAGATAGAGGAACACTGAGGTTAGGGAAACTACATCTATGATTCTGTTTAAACAAGAAAAAAATGTACATGCAAAGTAAGTTTACCCTCTGTGCTTGGGAAAGATGGCAGAGTAGAAGGGGGCCATTTCAGGGTTATCTGGTGGACATTTGCCAGTTAAAGTAGAAGACAAAGTAAAGTAGCAACCACACATGGCAGAGAAAATCCTCCTTGTTGACAGGAAGGGAAGAGAGAGTAAAGAAGGCACCATGCTTTTGTAAGGAAAGTTAATCTATGGAAATAAAATAAACCAAAGTGTCCTTACATTCTTAGTCAAGAGGTGTTGAGAGCTTTTGACTCTTCTCCTGGCTGGGCTGGTCACTGAAAAGAGAGGTAAAAAAAATAGTTTTAGAAAATGACTATACGCTGAAATAGCTATAGTAAAAATCACTGAGAAGTTTATACCTGGAACGGGGTAGGTGCATAGAAGAGGGGTTGGGAGAAGAGGCAGGGTCCCACTGCAGTTTAAGATGTTACTTGGTTTCAATACACCAAAGTTCATAGCAACCTTAGTCACATTAGTTAAAACAACCCAAATGCCCATCAACAGATGACTGTGCGAACAAATACAATAGATTATTATTCAGCCATGAAAAGGAATGAAACTCTGATACAATGCTACAAATGAATGAACCTTGAAAACATTGTGGTAGGTGAAATAAAGTAAGATACAAGAGTACATATATAATTCCACTCACATGAGAATCCTATAGTAGTCAGAGATGGAAAGTAGATAATAGTCACCAGAGGATAGGGGAATTAGGAATTATTTCTAATGGTTTCATCTGGGTGTGCCAGTGTGTGCCTACAATTACAGCTAGCAGGGAGGCTGAGGCAGAAGGATCACTGGGGCTATAAGGTCAAGGTTAGCCGGGACAACATAGTGAAACCTTGTCCCCCACCTCAAGAAAGAGAAGGTTTCTCAAAGTTTAATGGGAAGAGTTTCAATTTAGGGTAATGAAAGAGTTCTGAAGATGGATGGTGGTGATGGTTGTACAGCACTGAATTAACTGTACACTTAAAATGATCAATTCTACATACTACATATTTTACCATGATTAAAAAAATTAAGAAAATCAGTTTACCAGCTTTTGAAAACCAGTACTTTGTTGGAAGTGAATTTTATTGCACATGGAGACACACAGGCATCTATTTCCCCTATTTCTGCTAGGATGAACTACTGCAAATGAAATCCCTCTATGTCTCTGCCTTGCAGAGAACGGAAATGACTTTTTATCACATATCAAATGAGTGGCAAACAAGTGACACCCTTGTTATCTTCTTCAAAGGCGCTGTAGTGTGAAACCTGGCTGTGTGCCTGTGGAGAGCTCGGGCTACACCCTCCACTCGAGTGTGAATCTGACCTTGACCGCTTGTGTGTGTGTGACTGGTAAATTACCCTCTTGAGGTCTCACGCTCCAAATGTGTAGCACGGGGATAATAAATAATGACATTTACATCAGAGAATGGTGCCAAGAATTAAATGAACTAATCTTCATAAAACGCTTGCCCAAATCCGACAAGGAAATCCCCATGAATTAATGATGGTTTTTATTGTTTTCCTGCAAGAGGAGAGCAGGAGGGAAGGATGGGTGATGATGTCTAGAGATTGCAGTGTTCCATTAGGGTTTCTTTTCCTGAAAAGAAAAGAAATTTCCTCCTGCTGTTCTCTGATTTCCCTCACCACTCCCTCCTCAGTGTTCTTTTCCCTCAAAGAATTATTTTCAGTACTGTGGTATGCTCACCCTAGATTTGAAACCACTCTAGTGTACCTCAGGAAATAACCTTTGGTACAACTTCTTAGTAAAACCACAGTTTTCTTTTTCTGTTATTTACTGTGAGGTGTGTCTATAACCTTTTTTCCTTAAAGGCCTCTCTAGCAAGTAAAAATACATAGGTTTTCAGTTAAAGACTTGATCCTGTGCCATATTTTTATGAGATAGTAAGATGGCTCATTAAAAAAATGTAGATATTAGATGGAGACCAACACTGCATTGGAAAGAGGAACACAATAAACAATAGATATAATGATAGCCCATACTGAACTTTCTGAGATGATGGTTTATTTGTCTTATCTTTAATTTCTCAGAGTAAGAAGGTGGGTACTCTTCCTTAACTCCACCATGTTGACAGGGATAATGAGAGAGTAGAGGAGTCACTTGGTCAGAGGTGGAACAAAGCCAACTCTTAAACACTAGGGTACATTGCCCTTCTCTTGAGCTAGGACTTGGAAAGATTTGATTATTGTACATTAATGATCATGGGCTAAGCTGTGCTTTTTGGAGAAGGGCTTCTCAGGGAGGACTACAGCCCAGGTTTGATAAAGTGAGGCCAACTTATATTTCTGCAGTTAGGGCATGTGGAGATGTGAGGAAAGTGATCACTCTGCCATCAGCAATGACCTGTCAGCTTCTCTCACCAAAAGCCCTATGCTTCATGGCCTGGAGAAGACAGGGAAGACAAAGCAAGAGCGGGAAAGGGTGGCCTCCACACACTTTTGATCCAATATAAAACTGCAAACATCCCTTTTCTAAAGGACAACTTCCTGAGCAGTGAAATATCTGTGAATACCAATGAATACTTACTTGGTTTACTACTAGGATGCAGCCATGAATGAAAACAGCAAGAAAGGAATACAGGATTAAATGCTTATCTTTGAATGTATTCAATGCTCCAAAAGAAGAATAAAAATAGAAATTACTTGGCAGATGATGTATTTAATATGTGCTCACTACCTGCCAGCTACTGCTGTAGAGGCTTTATATATTAACTCATTTATTCCACATAATAGCCTTGGGAGATAAGTCTGCTGCTCTGTTTTACAGAAGTGGAAACTCAGGGCCAGAGAAGTTAAGTACATTGTCAAAGTACACACAGCACGGAAATGACAGCCATCTCTTTGTGACATATTCTTTTAAATACTTATGTATTTATGTTTTGTTTTTTGAGACAAGGTCTCACTCTACAGTGCAGGCTGGCCTTGAATTTACTGGGCAGCCAAGTCTGGCCTTGAACTTGGAGTGATCCTCTTGCCTCAGCTTCCCTAGTGCTGGGATCATAGGCATATGCCACCATGCCTGGCTAAATATTGTTTTAAATTACAGAAAACAGATATATTTAACATTCTCATCTTTTCTTCCAATTTCTTTTCTTCATGTAAAAAAAAAATTA